TGGCCAGGTATTCCTCCCGTTCTTCCGGTTTAAAGAATGAATAAAATAAAAAAAAAGAAAAATAAATAAATAAATAAAAATATTAATTATTTAAAAATCTTTGGAAATTCATATCTTCTTCATACGAACTCCGTTTTTGACGTTCTTTATATCTACGCGTAAGCGGGAACGTACTCTACAACTTTCGTTTAGACTTCGTCGGCTAATTTTGACATTAATTTTAATATTATTATTTTTAACAGACCGGGACAGGAAATCCGTTAAAAATTCATAACTTCTTCATCTGACGTCCGTTTTCGTCTGTCTTTTTACCGTTGTACTACTATTGACGAGACCTTCGATTCTCGTTTAGGTTGTGTCGGATAAAAATCACTCGATCTAAAATTCGAGTTTTTAGCTGTCTATTGCTAAGCTGAAACTTAGAAAAATCATAACTTCCTCATACGAAGTCAGATTTGGGCGTTCTTTTTATACATACTCTCGGTTTAACGAAAACTACGACTTTCATTTAGATCACCAAGGTTAAAAGTAGTTTATCAAAAAAACTCACTTTTTACGTCATTCGGCGTCGTGCCGGTTTTGTCGCGAAACTTCGACAGGTCATAACTTCTTCGTTATAACTCAGATTTCGGTATTCTTTATATATCCGAAATCCTTGTCACGACCACTACAACTTTCTTAATAGATATCAGATTTATCTAATATTTATTTTCGACGCTCATTTTTATTCTTAATTAATTAAATCCTAATAATTAAGCATAAAACACATAATTCACATAATAATCACATAATTCCTCTTCAGTTCTTCAAAATGAGTTACAAAGGTTGACCTAGAATATTACATCATCATTAATGCCTATCGTAGAAACACGGGCGTTACACTATGATCACTGATTACGTCGCGCACCGCACCTTAACGTTTCTGTCGGCGGCCGGGGATATGATATATAAGATCTCAAGTATTAGGAGATTTTATATTTGATTGTACTACATGATCTAGGAAATTAATACATGCATCTGGAAGTATTTATGCATTAAAATACATAATATACATGTACTTAGGTTTTTATAAAAATACATAGCATATAAAGACATATGTACATGTATTTGGGTATTTTAATTATTCATATCATATATACACATCATATTCTTGTGATATATAAACAGGTCTGGAAGTTTAATTTATAACCATGCACATGCAAATGTTCTTATAAGTTATTATTTCGTCGTCTTAATTTGTTAACTAACAAATCCGATTTCTAAATAGGATATTTCGTACGTGACTGTTGATTGTGTTGAACGTGATAATTCCAAAAATGTACACATAATGAAGTTATGATACCCTTATCCGTATTAAATCAACAATTAAAGTTTCGCGTTTAAATGGTTACAATTCAATGGTTTTTGCGAATTTTATTTTGCTTCGAGTTAAAAATATCGTAAGAATGAATTTAAATAATAGACCATAGTATGAGTTCAAAAACATGATAAAAAATAGTTAACGAGTTGTGTAACTAACCCCACGAATCGAATAAGTTTATGCTTTAAGATTCGATTTTTGAGTTTTTTTTGGGCAAAATGAGTTAGCTTCAAAATCAAGTTCTTGATCTAATTATGATCGAATCGAATAAGTTTATGCTTTAAGATTCGATTTTTGAGTTTTTTTTGGGCAAAATGAGTTAGCTTCAAAATCAAGTTCTTGATCTAATTATGATCGACGGAAAATTTTCTAGAGTTGAAAATTCATTATTTAAGGCACGAAACGTTTTAAGTTTTGAAATTTTACATTTTTAGCCGGTTTGTTTTTCGTTATTTTCGAAGCCTATAACTTTTGGATACGAAACACATGTGGGTTCCATTTGTTACAAAATTCTCATGATCGTCACTTTATAGTGGATGACATGAGTTCCAAGATTGTTATTTCTAAGACAAAAGATGTTTTATTACAAAAAAAAAAGAGTTAGGAATTTTAAAAGTTACACAAATACATCTAAATCAGGAACCATTAAGAAGCACTGTATACTTTTTATGAGTAATAAAATGGAAAACATGAATTAAAAAAAAAAAAAAACACACACACAAGTGAACTAAAAACCTTGAACCTTAAGTTATGATTAAGACAAATTCACTAAAAAAATAAAAACAAAAGAAAATATGGCTGAAATAGTTGAGTTTAATGGTTTTTAATTCCTATGTCACAAGTTCAAATATTTACTTAAGACTAGTTAAATGTTATTTTGTAATTTTCAACTTTCAAATTTAAGAAAAAAAGTGTTTAAATATGATTTGAACCTAGAACGTCTAGCTTAATAAGGCATCTCATCTTATCAATTTCAAGTAGAACGATGTATTTGCTTATATTTAATTAGAAAAATCAGAATTTAGAATTTTGAGTTTTTAAATGTTATATGTGATTTTTTTTTCTAAAAATTTGCATTTTCATTGTTACTCGCAAATGTGGATGTATTCCCCAGCTGTTATAATTTATGATGTTTTTTAATAAAGTATATTTTGCTTAAAAAAACAACATTAGGAATTAACATCATCTTAAAACTAAAAAAAATAGACAGGTAAATATAAATATAACTTCAAGAGGTCAATTTAATGAATAACTTATATTTAATGAGTTGAATAATCTATAATTTATAATTATATATAAATGAGGAATTTGTTAATTTAACCAAAAACGTGAATTATTTTATCGAAAATAACCAAAAATTAGCAAATTACACAAAGTATGACATCGCAAGTGCTTAAGGACCATTTATGATTTCTTTAGTTCATCTGCAGATGTACACCCCGTTAATGCATGTATATACATCAACAACTTGTATATTTGTAAATGGATAATGACTTGATATGGTAAGATGCTTTTTGAAATGTACACATTTAGTCATTATTCTTTTTTTTATTGTAAAATAAACCCTTATATTTTATTTTTTGTAACAATACAATCCTTGTGACCGGCTATACCCGGTATACCGGTCATATACGAATTTTCTTTTAGGGAAAAATGACTTGATAGGGTAAGATACTTTTTGAATTGTACACATTTAGTCTTTATTCTTTTTTTTTGTAAAATAAACCCTTATACTTTATTAATATGTACACATTAGGTCATTTTCACCGGATTCTATAGATTTTGCTGATGTGGAAGCACAAGTGGCACTAAATAGCAATTAATTAGCCTAGTCACCGGAGGTGGGTGATCCTCCAGCAACAAGAAAAGGGCGGCGACCCTTCTATTTCTCGTTTCTCTTCCTTCCGGTCGAACAACAACATCTAAACACCCTTTACCTGTTGTGTTTCTCCGATCTGTCTCTCTTTGCCTCCATCTTTGAGATATGTTGCCAGAAAAAGACGAAAGAATCGACGAGGGGGCTACCAGAGCAGCTCCTCGCCGCCAACTACCGTCTCTACTTCCTCCTGCCTCCCCCTTCGACCTTGTTGTTTTTGCCATCATTCCTCCTTGCTACCAGTGATGTGTAGGAACACACAAAGGAGTCGCCGGAGATCGGGGTTCTCCCTCTTTTTCATGATGAATAAAAGTTGGAAAAATCTCGTTGTGGATATGTGGATGCCACCTGGGTATTTCATTTCAACAAAATAAAAGAAAGGGAAAATGACTTGATAGGGTAAGATACTTTTTGAAATGTACACATTTAGTCCTTATTCTTTTTTTTGTAAAATAAACCCTTCCACATCAGCAAAACCTGTAGAATCCGGTGAAAAGGACCTAATGTGTACATATTAATAAAGTATAAGGGTTTATTTTACAAAAAAAAATAAGGACTAAATGTATACATTTCAAAAAGTATCTTACCCTTTCAAGTCATTATCCCATTTGCAAATGGAACCCCATATGTGATTTTGTCCTGGACCATCTCCGATTTCCATATCTAGAGTATAAATACTTTTTTTTTCTTTGAAAACCCTTATTTTTGTAGTCAAAAAGTTGGGAAAACTCCCTCATTCTCTATGATTTTATGTTTATAAATTACTTATAAATCGAATTTGTTTTCGGATTAATTTTCTAGCTTTGGTGTAAATGGATTGATCTAAACATACGACATTAAGTTCTTGCAAACGTATTTTCAAATTAATTAATGTTTGGTTATTAAATTTTGACAAGATCAATTTCAAAAATGTTATGAACCTAAATATCATGATGACTTTACATAAACCTTGTTTGCTAAATGTGTCAACAAATTTGTTTAATTAAGAACTAGGAACCTTGTAATCTCAACCTATTTAACTCAAAATATCACATAAATTTTTATATATTTCACGTAACTTAAACTTATCATATTTAACATAAACATATTATACAAATTCGATTTAAAAGTACTTTATAAACATAAAATCATAGAGAATAAGAGGGTTTTTCAAATTTTGTAACTACAAATATGATAGAGTTTTCTTAACTTTGTAACTACAAAAATAAGGTTTTAAGAGGTTGTATATCCGCAGATGATATGAAGAAATCAAATATGGTCCTTAAATACATGCAATTTTAGTGGCTAGTTAGTATAATTTGCTAATTTTTTTGTTATTCTCATTAATAAATAAAATTTTTTTTTGCCACATGTCATTTTCTAGTAAGTTTTGACATTTGTCAATTTGTGATAATTTTTAAATAAATAATATCCACATGTCAATTTATGGTTTTTTCTAAATTTTAAAATTAAAAAGCAAAGTATCAAATTTAATAAATATTATATTAAATTGCAATTAATATGTTTTTTTATTTTTTATTTCAAAATTTTATTTTAAAAAATATTTATTATTTACATTTTAATATTTTATTTTTTTTAATAAACTCGTATAATACACAGATTTTACACCTAATTTTCTATAAAATGATTATTATTTTTTATTTTATTTTATTTTATTATTATTATTTTTTTTGGCTAAATTATCAAATTTCCCTGTATAAATTAAATGCGTAGGCACTTGCGTCTATCTATCGTCATCGCCCGTCCTAGTTTGACTTTAGATAACTCCGCATGGAGACCCTACCAACTAAAATCCCCACTTCACAGTCCCTATATAAAGTAATCTGCCATGGCTTTCTTCAATCAATCCATAGAAGAAGATCAAAGTTCGAAAATGACAGGAGTTCGAAGAATCAAACTGGGTTCACAGGGTTTAGAGGTATCCGCTGTCGGTTTAGGTTGTATGGGCATGTCCGCTTTCTATGGAGACCCCAAGCCCGAACCAGACATGATCAAGCTCATCCACCACGCCATTAACGCCGGCGTTACCTTTCTCGACACCTCCGACATCTACGGCCCTGAAACCAACGAGATCCTTATCGGCAAGGTAACAACCATTCTTCAACTATTACAAGCTTATATATTAATATATTATATCTTACTTTGACCAATTGTCCTACGATTAGTATTATGATCTTAGAGAACAGGGGCCTTTTGACTCTTTTCATGTTTCGAATTAGTCAACTTACTGTTCTTAAGTATTGTTTCTTGCTAACTACAGGCTTTGAAGGGAGGGGTGAGGGAGAAAGTGGAGCTCGCAACCAAATTTGGGATCAAATTCGATAGTGCTGCGATGGAGGTCTGTGGAGATCCGTCCTATGTAAAGTATGCTTGTGACGCTAGCTTTAAGAGACTCGGTGTCGATTGTATCGATCTGTATTATCAGCACAGAATCGACAAGCGTGTGCCTATCGAAATCACAGTTGGTTTCCTCCTCTTCACAATCCTTCTCTTTCAGTCGTTAAATTCATCATCCATTCATATTGATCTCAAATCTTTTTATTATTCTTAGATGGGAGCAATGAAGGAGCTAGTGGAAGAAGGAAAGATTAAATACGTTGGATTATCAGAAGCATCCGCATCAACCATCAGAAGAGCTCATGCTGTGCACCCAATAACAGCCATACAACTGGAATGGTCCTTGTGGTCAAGAGATGTTGAAGAAGATATTATTCCTACTTGCAGGTTAGCTTTCTTTTTCTATCCATTTTCTAATTCATCAATAACCATGAATCCAAAATCCGAACTTTAAGCTCTTTATATCATACTTTATCAGAGAACTGGGGATTGGGATTGTTGCATACAGTCCTCTTGGACGTGGGTTCTTCTCATCTGGCCCAAAGATGCTCGAGAACTTGGATGCTAGCGACTTCCGGAAGGTCTGTTAGTTACCCTTTTTCGTTATATTCTCCATTATATACTTCATGTTTTAACACTTTCTTTTTTTAGTATATGCCGAGGTTCCAAGCTGAAAATCTTGAGCACAACACGAAAATGTTCGAGAGGGTGAATGAGATGGCGACAAAGAAGGGGTGCACCCCATCGCAGCTATCATTGGCTTGGGTTCACCACCAGGGAAATGATGTGGTGCCAATTCCAGGAACTACAAAGATTGAGAATCTTGAACAGAACATTGGAGCTTTATCTGTGAAGCTAACACCAGAAGATATGGCTGAACTTGAAGCCATTGCTTCAGCTGATTCGGTGAAGGGGGACAGATCTGGTGCTGGTATTCCAACATATCAGGATTCCGACACTCCTCCATTGTCATCTTGGAAAGCTTAATCGATGTTGCAAATCTGTTGTATGTGGTTTGCCATTGCTTGTTTTCATATAAGGACCCTGTTTCGTGTTCTATTATTTGGTTAAACTCGATCAGGCGTGTAGATGTAAGCATTTGAGTTTTGAGTAAAATGTCACTGTGACCCAACCATCTTTTTAGTTATGGTTTAAATGGTCCCTATTGTTTTTTTTTTCGCACTTAAGAGGAACCAAGACTTAGAAAATAGTTTTTAAAGCCATTTTGTTCAAAGTGGAAGGGTTGAGCCGGTTAACATTATCCTACTCAGCATATTAGGTACACACGCCATCGAAATTAATCCACCTAAGCTGCCATGTAACCTGCTCGTTTACTGAGCTTGCCCTACAAGACACATTATATAAAAACCCTCACTGTCTTCTTCCCCTTTTTGTCGTATTTTTTGTCTGCAAAATCACGTTGTCATGGCGGTTTACATGAAGATCAATCTTCACTTTGCTGGGTTTTTTACAAGGTACCCCAAAATTAGTTATACGGACGGAGCAGAACAAAGGTTCGAAGATGTTGATTTTGTTGGAATGGACAGGAACGAGTTTGTTAACTTCGTACAAAGATTTGCAAATGAAATGTGTGTAAATGTTTTTTATTGCATGCCTGGAAAAGACTTTCCTGATGGATTGAGGATCTTGGCTAGTGAAATAGACTACCAGGACTTCATCGAAGCTGGGTATGCTGCTGGTTGTGTCGTGGATGTATACATGGATCATCTAGGTGTGAATGTCCAACAGTGGATTATTGATGAGCAAGTTGATGAGAGCGTTGTGGAAGACAATCATTATGATGGATTTGTGCAGAATGGCCCGGAGGAACTGCAAGGTAATGTACACGATGACCTTGAACACGTAGATTGCAATCCAATGAATAAGACCATTAACGATGAGTTTTTGAGCAAGCTATGCCCAAAAGTGCAGTCAACTCCAAATAGTCCACCTCATGAGGATCCATATCTTCAAATGGAAGAAAATGAGGTAAATATTGAAGAGGTTACTAGATACAATGAAAATGTGTATTGGAAAAAACAAAAACCTGTGTTAGGAATGCGATTTCATAGTCCAAAACAGTTAAAGCTTATGTTATGTAATTATGCTGTTGCTAATGGGTATCAGTTGTGCTACAAAAAAAATGACAGTAGAAGACTATTAGTTAAATGTTGTTCTGGGCAGTGTAAGTTTAGGCTATGGGCTTCATGGATGAGTGAAGAAAATTCTTTCCAGATTAAGTCCCTTATAGATGAGCATAATTGTGCTAGAAATTTTAAACTTGGATCAATTGTTAGCTATGCTTGGATTGGTAGCCATTTTACAACCGAGTTCTTACAAAAATAGAAAATGAGTGTTAGGATGCTTAGGGAAGAGGTGAAACAGGCTTTTGGTATAGATGTAAGTATGGGTCAGTGCAGGAGAGCAAAAAAGCATGCTATTGAGCTAATTGAAGGCACATTGGTTGAGCACTATTCAAAGCTTTGGTCATATGGTGAGGAGATATGGTGAGGAGATAAGAAGATCAAACCCAAGATCAACTGTGAAAATTGATGTCAATACTATGCCTGATGGGAAAAATTATTTTAGTAAGTTTTATGTATGTTTTGAGGGACTAAAGCAAGGGTGGAGGGGCAGTTGTAGAAGAGTAATTAACCTGGATGGCTGTTTCCTTAAGGGGCTATGTACTGGAGAGTTAATAACTGTTGTTAGAAGGGATGCTAATAATCATATATTTCCAATTGCATGGGCAGTTGTGTGTGTTGAAAACAAAGAGAATTGGAAATGGTTTTTGGAAAATTTAAAAGATGACTTAGGAATGGACAATGGTTTTGGAATTGCATTGATGTCAGATCAGCATAAGGTATGTTTCTTAGTTGTATTTTATTTATTAATGAAAGTTGCCTATACTATTTCACAAATTAAATTGTTAATGTGAAGGGACTATTGGAAGCTGTGAAGGAGATTTTGCCTACTGTTGAACACAGACAGTGTGCAAGGCATGTTGTTGCCAACTTTAGGAAAAGATTCACCGGAGTAATGTATGAGAAGATGTTTTGGAAGGCATGCAAGGCATCTACTGAGCCTTTACACAATGCAGCAATGAAGGAAATACAATTTCTCAATCCTTCAGCCTTTGAGTATCTAACAGAAAAGAACCCACAATCATGGTGTAGAGCTTTTTTTCAGGAGGGCAAGATGTGTGATGCTGTAGAGAATGGGTTGTCGGAGAGCTTTAACAATGTTATAAGAGATGCAAGGAAGAAACCAATCATCACAATGCTTGAAGAGATTAGATTGTATGTTATGGAAAGGCAGTTTCATTTGAGCATGAAAGGCAGTTCATCGCCAGATTTTGAACCATGTCCATCAATTACATCCTTGTTGAATCAATTGAAAAAAGATCAAAGGTAAACTTAGTTTGTGTTTGTTAACATCATAGATAATACTAAACTTACACTAACTTTTAGACAATGTTATTAGATATTGGCAGGTTTTACCAACTGGTTTGAACCAATTTGAGACAAGAAACTTAGCAGAGTCTTATGTCGTTGACTTAGACAAGAAGACATGCTCTTGTAGAGTTTGGCAACTAAATGGGTATGGGTGTGTGCACTCAGTTGCAACTATTAGTTACCTAAACAGAGATGTCGGAAGTTATGTGGATCCCATGTTCTTTGGAGCTTTTTATAGAAATGCTTACAAGTATCCACTGAGAGGGATGAATGGCAGCAATATGTGGCCAAGTACCAATTTCATACCACCACTGCCACCTTTGAAAAGGAAAATGCCAGGCAGGCCTAAAGTCAATAGAAGGAAGGACCCAAGAGAAAAGACTACTAGACACACCATGTCAAAGGTTGGGAAGAAAATTCTATGTAGTGTGTGTAAACAAGTTGGTCACAACAAGGCTACATGTCCTAAAGTTGAGAAGCCCAAAAAACTCAAGGTGAAGAGAAAGAGATCAACTACTAAAGGTGGTAATGAAGAGGAAGGAAGTGGTTCAAAAACAACAGTTGCACGTAAACGGAAGCAATCAGAGAGGATTATAAAGAAAAAATTGGCAAAAAGGGTTGAAGAGAAAAATGGAGAAGGAAATTTTGGTGATAATCCAATGAATATTGAATAGACATAACTATTATTTGGTAGTGTGTTAAGACTAGGTTGGTTGTTTGATGTGTTATTTAACTTTGTTTCGTAGTAGTATTATTGTGGTATGTGTTTGTTGAATGTTTTTTTATGTACACTAGTAACACAAACAAAACGATGACACACAATAGCAGGGCACTTTCATTTATTTAATAGGAAAGGGATTACAAATCCATTACATAACCATTACAAATACATTGGTAAACATGAAAGGAAACCATATTAGAAATAACCATAACTTCATCTTAATAGGAAAGGAAACCATATTTAATACGAAAGGGATTACAAACCCATTACATACCCATTACAACTTGTAGACTAATACCACAAAAAAACAGCCCAACTTAGAAACAACCATAACTTCATCTTTCTAACATCAGATTGAAGCTTCTTATTTGCCAGAACCAAATTTGTAACCAAAGTTGTGTCACCAGTCGTGTTCGTACTCTCCACTTCATCTGCCCAACATATGAAGCCATCACGAGGCCCCTACAATGGAAGTTATTATTTGTTATAGATTAAGTTACCAAACCCAGAAACAAATTATCAAAATCTAGGTCAACAGTTAACATGCAATTTACATTTACCTTTTTGGGGCAAGCATAAAAGAGTCGGCCAGGGTTGTATTTAGTAGTTGACGTTCGTAATATTGCTTCACATCCACACGAGCATTGAACCGATTTCATCGAACCCTTCATTTCAGTGAGGTCACTTGAACGGTAAGAAGAATAGGAGAGCAAAAGAAAGCTTATTAAGCCCACATATGTGTCTGAAACATGAGTATATGTAAGGGTAAATTGTGAAAGGACGAAATTACCCTCTTTCACACTAATTAACTGTAATTTCCATTAACTACTATTTTTCCATTAAATAAACCTGGTTACAAAGTTACTTTATACAAAATTGCCTATGCTTAGACATGTCTTCAATCACCTTCGCCAAAACAAACACATAAACCATAATACACAACATTATACTACCAAAAGAAGACACATTCATACCTAATCAACACAAACACTACAAACCACCAACATAAACACCAACAAATCAGGGGTTCACGATACGAAGAAACTTCTCCACCATAAAACCAAAAGTCACAATCACAAGTCCAATCACCAATACAGTCAACGAAGTCACCTTTTTCTCCGTATGCTCAATCCGACGATGCAATGCGAGTGACTCAACCCTGCTTAACACCAAATCTCGACCCATTTCTTCTTTCAAACGGGCGACTTCCATTTTCTGCTCTGCAATTTCTGCTCCACAATCACAATAAATCGTATGCAAATCGCCGAAGTTGAGACGGTCTCGTGAATTTATAGATATTGAATCCGGTGAAAGTGGTGGTGGGGTCGCCATCGTGACTCACGTGAAAGCGAAGTATCGAGGTTATGTCGGATTGTCGGTAACCTTTAGTGGAAAAGGGTATTGAAGATTTAGGGTTTCATCTAATAAGCCACTGCTTTTATGGACTGATGGGTCCACAGTGACCCTTAGGCCCCAAGCAAGGAACCGGTCACAACTCAGTGACATGTACATGAGTTAACTCAGACTCAACTCACTTGCTGACTATGCTTATTACGTGTATGGTTTACCTGTTAAAACAGGTAACTGGACCAATTTAGCCGGTAAAGTAAAACTTGGTTCCTCTCAAGTGCGAAAAAAAAACAATAGGGACCATTTAAACCATAACTAGAAAGATGGTTGGGTCACAGTGACATTTACCCTACAATAAATGAAGGTGGTTTCCTGTTTTGGGTTTATGACTGAGCATGTATTATGGAATTAGAGGTACACTGTTTGGTTTCGGGTTTTTTGGTCCACTTTACGCTTGCTCCCCTGATGTTAGTTAAACACTTTCGAAAGGGAGACAAACCTTTTTCACGTGGCATTCATTTCATTCGATTTTTTAGATAATTTAGATGCATTTTACACGAGCTAACTTTGTGATTCTTTCTGAACCTAATTATTTTGACACGAAAATTGAAAAATTAGAAACAAATTTATCATATAATGTAAAACTTGTGATTGTGTATATCAAGCCGTACTAGTAATTTTCCTTTCATGGAAATCATGTGTCAATTCAAATATTATAAACTAGTTTATAACCCGTGAAAACCATGGTTATAAAATTAATTAAATTTTAATAGTGAGAACTCAAAATTATTAATCAACTATTTTAAATAAATTATTAATTAAGATATGTTTTTTTAGTTATATAAAATTATAATCGTTAATTTAAATAAATATGTGAAATTATATTACCTTATAATTTGTATTAATTTTATTTTAATTTTTATTTTAATGCTATTAATTTAATGTAATTAGAATGACAAATTTAAAATTTGAAATTTGAAATTGAGAATTAATAGGTTGACAAGTGGCATCCATTAATTAGGAGACCTAATAGGGTGACACATGGCAAAAAAAAGAATAAAATATACATTAATTAGGAGGCCTAATAAGATGACACATGTCAAAAGGAGATTAAAACTATTCTTTTATTAGATAGGGAGATATATTTGGAAGGAAAGAGTTTTACTTTTGATGTAGACAAATAGAAAGGATATTGTTAGACAATGCATAGTCTAATATACGAGTTTAATAGGGTGGTGGAAAATTCAATAGATTAAACTTTATCATTATATGTTATGTTAACATTCAATAAATATGAAATTGAACTCTTTAATGAGATAAATGAAACATTTTAATTATTAAAAACAATATTGGGCTAAAAGTACTTGAGCTTAGGCTTTTGTGCTGATATATAAAGAGTGTATTTGGCATGGAGCGTTTGAATCTTCTAACTTCTAGCGTTTAACAAAACGCTACCAAATATCAGCTACCCGCTACCAGCTAATTCCATGCATAAACTGTGTTCCTCTTCGTTCCATACATAAATATACACACATACTCTTTACTCTCTCACCTTCATCATTTCTTTATGCTTCTTTCTCATTCTTTAGACTCTCATTTAGGGTTTATATGTTATACACCTTTATGTTCTTATTCTTGATCCGGTTATTGTTGATTACTCCAAATTTATTGAGTGTGAGATCGACTTGTTATATGTGCAATTGTTTTGTAGATTTTGAAATTTGTTTGGTTGGTAAATAAAGGTTTCTTGAATTTTTACATGGTATCAGAAGCCACACAAATCGGTTTGTTTGCTCGTTAGATTGTTTTCAATCAATGTCTAATTATAAGTCTTATATCTTGTGTGTGTAGGAAGTAGTGAGAAATTTTTGGTCCTCAGAAATTTTTATAGGAAACCTCACCTTATGTTTTTTAAGGTAAAAATGAAGTATTTTCTTGAAATTCTTGAATTGTGAATCCGATTTTGTTAATGGAATTCCATAAATAAATTGTCTAAGATTTTGGTCCGGAATCTCAATCCTTGCAAGAAATTTAGTCCAAAATTTACCTTCTTAGTAAAAACACATTTGGTGGTGACATGAATTAGTCCAAAATGATTTCCATAAAAGTTGATCAATTTTCAAAAACCTTGTTTTCATTTTTTTTATATTAAATCAAAAATATAATTATTTTATTAATATCCCTTTTCAAAAATAATATATATAATTTTTATTACATAAAGATAAAGTTAATATATATACTAAAAGAATAAATAGCTATATAATATAAAAAAAATTAAAAATAAAAGATATGAATAGAAATATAAAAATATCAAATGAACATTATTATTATATTAAGTAAAAAGTTGAAGCCTCCATAATAATTTATGGACATGAACTTACAATAACTAAAAAACCTTAAATTTTGTATTTAACATTCACCAATCCTAACACTATTTAAAAAATTGTACGAGACTTCATTACCTTAAGCGGTTAATCTTTATAAGACAAATTGTTATGCTATGAACTTGTTGGCTTCTAAAACTCATTCACCTTCTCTTTCCCTTTTGTTGTTCTCAAACTTTCTTTATCTTCGCCTATAAAAAAATGTTGTTTTCATCCATATAAATGCTAAAGTCAAATATAAACATTATTTAATAAGCTTTCTGTACTTGTAGGTGATTGTGAGTTCTGTGTTGATCATACCGGATATAACTATTCCATCATCGTCACCAATGTTATGATTGATCATAGAAGTCATCATATCACCATCATCAGTCGTCTGAAAAACATTGGTATCCAATGAATTTTCATGCTTGCGTTTTCTTTTCTCGATTTCCTTGAGCTTGCGTACAACCTCTTCCCGGAGAGTAGCGGGATCAGTAGAACATTGGTATCCAATGAATCGCAGGAAACCCCGAATCCTTCTCTTGCAGTTTATTTCTTTCTCATCATCGCTTTTCTTTCTTTCAGTACAATCTCTAGTGTTTTTCGTTGTCATTGGAGGTTGATTATTAATGTATGTGGTATGTGTTCAGTAACCGATGTTTATAAGCCTTGGGAAGATGGAATATATGGTATGATTTTGTTGATAATTTAAAATTATAGAAGATTTTTGAATCCTTTCATTATTTAGATTTCCTGTTTCTCGTTTCTGTATGATTAATGTTTCATTTTGTTAGATTTTGCCTTTAATTTCTTAAAACAACCGACAAATACAGCTTAGGCCATCCGAAATACCACCATTAACCTTTAATGTGATGGGGAACACCCATTAAATACCGCTAAAACATGCCACTTCATTTTTTTAATTAAATTTAAATAAAAAATATAATAAAAACATAGATTTCTTTTAAAACTATTTTTTCATTCAGAAAAAAAAATTACATTAATTTAAAATAAAAACGACAATCTAAAATTAAATGCAAGAAAACATAAAAATTTCAAACATAAAAAACTATACCTAAACCTAGTTTTTTTTAACTAGTCTTTATATTTTGGAAAATTCGTCAACTTTAGCCAAATTTTGAGATGTGGAACAGGTTTGTGGGTTGTGTATTCATATTGATCCATGGCCATATTAACGACATTGATATCGCTTGACCCGTTTTCGTGTAGATTGTTTACAATGTTGTAAATTTCATCGAATTCGCTACATTTTACCCTCAAATCAT